TTCTAATAAAATATTTCTTGCAATAGAACATTAAATCTGTTAACACATTATCAAGAAAATTATTTTGATTGAGTTCAAAAATTTAGTACAACGTTTTGTTCTAAAATTCTATTAGAGATGTGACTTCTACACTAAAGCTTTGTCAAATAATGATACCTTCACTGTTATAAAGTGAGTCATCAATGAATAAAACAAGTTCAATTTGTCAAAGGAGTAGCTAATCGTGTTTCTGCATTCATGGATCCCTTGTGCCTCTCTATTGGTGTCTATATTTTCCCTTAACTCGTTGGATTCGCTTAAATGGTTACCACGTGCGCATAAATATACTCAAAGTGCATTAGCAACTTCCGAATCTGATATTAAAAGCATGAGCCATTGAGAGTTGACAATATACCATTTTATTTAGATAAAATGAGAACTCTATTTGAAAAAGGTAAATATTTATTTATTTTACAATAAATAGTTTTTTTTTTATTTAGATAAAATATGAACAATAATTTAAAAGGTAAATATTTAAAAAACATTAATTTTTCCATTTACTTAAAATCGAAAAAATATCTTAAAGTGTCAGTATTTATTTTACAATAAATAGGTTTTCTATTTAGTTAAAATATGAACAATAATGTAAAAAATGAATATTTATTTAAAAAAATTAATTCTATCTAAATAAAAAAAAATAATTTCATTAATTTCGCTTTTTGTCATTAAAAATGAACGAACCAATAGAAACTAAACTAAAATTTCCACAGTGCATCTGGATATCAAATGCCATTGGTCGTAGCACCATCCACATAAAAGCAACTAGTAAAAAAACGCCAGAATAAGACTTAAGATTTAAAAATTAAAAAAAAGTTATTTTTGCACAAGTATTTGGACAATTTTCTAATATTTTCTACTTTCTATTCGCACATTTATACATAAGCGCCTAGGCAATTATATATGAAGATGTATAAAGCATTGAAAATGCACCCAAAGTTAAATACGTTAATTTCTTTTTCAAGTACAATTACTGTTTTTAGTTTGTTCAGTCACATCAACTATAGCTAATCTATTGTAAGTATTTTTCCGTTCATATTCAAATTCTCTAATACCCTCTCTTCTTTTCATACATATAATGATATTTAACATTGTTTTCGTTTTATTAAATTTTGCAGATGAACACAAATGAATTCAATAGATTTTAACTTGGCACATCTTTATGGACAACAAAAAAGAAAAGAAAGGTATAATAAACACAACGCTGCACGAAGACGAATAAGATTAACACAGAAAAAATCCTGTTTCCCTCATATATCAACAACAATACAGCATAAACCATCTATATTTGAACAAAATATAATGGAAATTATTGAAAATGAAGATTTTTCTTTATATGATGATCATGAATGTATTAATGGTAACAGTAATTGTTTAATTAAATACACATCAAAAGAATTAAATGTAGACAATGATGATGCAATATCCATTATGTTAAATTATGGTTATAATGAAACAGTAACAATAGAAGAAGAACAATCGGATGATGATAATAGTATTTTACCTGATAAACTATCTTTATATAATTATACTATTGATTCAACTTACGATTATTGTGAAGCATTTATCATCATTGCTCGCCAAGCAAATCTTTCTAAAAACAGTATCGATGATAAGTTATTTTTAATTAAATCCGATGTTCCAGTTCCAAATAACTTGCGACCAACAGAAGAAAAACTTTTATTGTTGCTTGGCGTTACGGAATTATTTACAAAACGATCCATTTGTTTATTGGGTGATAATGAATTCAATTATCAACAAAAAATTTGTTCACAGTGCTGCTCAACAGATAAAAATTCAATTGCTTATGTGTAAGTTTTTTTTACATAATATATATTTATCTACATTTATGCAGTAAACTGAGAGTCTTATTCGCAGCTATATATTTTTAGATATGAGAGTAATGTTGAATTAATCATCAAAAAAATTATGATTAGATTATTATCAAATATTAATGAATTTTAAAAAAATCTACAAGAATGATGATCATGAAGAAACGAAAGATATTCCATTTCGAACCTTTTATCAATACTTATTGAAGAAAAATGATTATCAAGTTCTAATAAGCTTACTCTTGCACATTGATGGTATTAGCATTACTAGTTCAACTAAATTGAAAATGTGGATGTTAAGCAGATCGATTGTAGAATTACCACCAAAACTGCGTTCGCAGCGATGTAATATGTAGATTATATCTATTTGGATAGTCTGTATCGAACCACCGGCGAAATTATAGTTGAATTACTTTGTAAATAAATTAAAAATAATCAAAAATCAAAGTATATATGCATTTCTATTGGTAGTATATAGGGAGCGATTTCTACACTATTATAAATAGATTACAACCGGTTTGAAACTTGAAAGCCTTGTATTTTTTTTTGAAGTAGTTGATTTCTTTATAATATCAATATACAAGGTTCTGTTCTGTAATAAAAAAAAGTAGAACGAAACTATAATTCACTATGGGTCAACTCATACTTATTCACTGTTCCAACATCAGTTTCAAATAAGGTATCCTTTTCTATCTTTTCAGGTATTGATGTTTTGAACGTGAATCACAAGCTGATAATATTGTGAATCACAGATGATTGTATTGCATTAAGTTTGATCACGAATTTTATCGTTCACAATGGTTATTTCAGTTGTTGGTTTTGTTTTACTCAAGGTGAATATATGAATAACAAACGTCAATATTGTTATGACACAATCCATTTTCGT